GGGTTACTAAAATATAAAGGGAGTATTTGATGAACTTTTCTCAGTGAAGTTTGTCTAAATTTTCAAAATGGAATACAAGATCCTAGTGAGGAGAACGGTAAAAAAAATCTTTTTCCAAACACTGTTTAGAATGATGCATATCTAAATAGTGAAGACTTGTAGTGACAAATATCGGAGATGATGTTATGATAACAAAAAATCTCAATGAAGACGAGATGATAACACAGTCACATAATAAATGACATGATTTCACAATTACTCGATTATTATCAGAACTGAAATAAAGTTAATATACGAGAATCAGTAAGATTGTGTAAATCATAATGTTTATTCAATCATAATCGTAATCGCTGTAATTTACATCTTTATTTTAAGATGGGCTATTTGGGCTATATCTTCCCAGATTAATTAATATTAGTTCCAATTCTATTCTGTATCCATTAAATCATTTGTAACTTTCCGCATAATTTTGATGATAAGTAATCAGTAACTTAGTTGATTATGTCTTGACAATCAACATTATAAGATCTTTTTTCACAATTGTTTGCATTTCATTTTTTAGCAAAATCTGCCTTTGTAAGCGAGAAAAGTAATAAGACATTTTTCACATAGAATAGTGTGCAATATACTTAAAAGAGTTGACTAAAATAAATAGCTACTGATAGGAAATGATAGCTTTAACTCATAAGGCATTGCATTCTGGATCACTTGATTATCTATTTGATGTTTACATAAATATATATCAATAAACTCATCTTAAACACTTTAGCAGATAAATACTGGTATTTGTAATGAAAGTAAGTAAGAATTGAGTTAAAAACCGTCCAAGGAATATTCTGATAAAATTATGTGTTGAATTGCACCGTATATTTTGTTTAATATATTATTCTGTGTAACAGACGACAACTCATTTGTTTTGAAACCTCTGCTTGTTATATTTCAACTTAGTGAAACGACTACACTTTTAAAAATATAATCCACAAACGTGATGACCTTAAAAATTGCTTCACTTAGATTTTAAACTGTACAATGTTCAAGAATATAATTCTCTCAAATTTGGATTAAAAAGGTCATGCAACGAAAAAACAATACAAGACCTAATCAAATGCAAATAATATCGTGCAGGATATGTTCGGTAAGAAACTTATAGGTTCGCAAATCAAGCAAATTCAAGGAATCAGTTAAGACTTCAAGGTAAACAGTTGCCTGTGTGATCGCGCAAAACGATTGAGTTGTTCTGGGTAAGTTGAAGACCTAATGCCTATACGATGTCTGTTCTTTCTGGAAACCAATGGGAGATCCCGCTCTTTCTCCAAATAATATCACATGACCACTCATATATAGCCACAGAAAAGGGTGTCCTACTCACTACCTCCTCGTAGCGGAATTGTTGTTTGTGAAATTGAGGGCATGAAAAGAGAATGACCAATGCTTTCAACTGCTTAGTTGATACGGGAGTTTGACTCAGAGAGTTGACCTTAATTAACATGACGAGAAACTCACTAGGATGAATGATGGGTAAACTTGACGCATGCATTGAAGAAGAGAAGGAATTTGAAAATTTCAGTATAACATCAGTGTAATTCACTAATGAGGAACTCACTTCTTTTTTTCACAAATAAACTGAACACCTTGCTTTTAAGTGGAAGACGTCATCCATTTTCACATGGTCGTCAAAGTAGAGAGAGATCATTGTTTTAGTTTTTGAGGCATCTTAAACACTTACAATGTACCGTGTATTGAAGATTTCCTTATTTAATGTAATACTAATATAGTGACTTGATGAGCGCAACATACTTTTAACTACACAACTGACATTCCATTGAGTTGGAACATGTAAGTTACTATTTAGTTTCAGTGAGTAACGCATTAGGATTTGAAGTGAAAGTCATTGAATCCGAATCACATTGCAGACATGATAATTTAGCTGCAGATAAAATCAAATGATCAGTTCTAAACAGTTACAGTCGCGTTTTACTGCGGTTTAATTAATTCGTTTATTTAAAATATATGTGACGAGGATTAGAATGAAACTTACAGGTATTAATTTTTCCTATTTTACTGATACTGAAAGCATATATTTTGATGAAATCGAGTGGTCATTTAAGGAAACCTGATTTCTTTTGTTGTTTTTCTTCAAGAATATTAATAGTTGGGGATCCCCAGAACTCACTTGAAACAGGCCCTAATTTTGTGATTTATTTCTGAAATTTTGAATTTTTATGTTTCTTCGCCAAGAGACGCTTACTTGACCTATAGCTTACATATATCACTCGGAAATCCTCGACTGTCATTTGGGTGACGGATATTTTTAGTTCGCTTCATTTTAGCTCTCTCAAGGGCGTTCCTACCACTGTATAAATTAGCTTGATTTGTGTGCTTAGCAAGCTCGTATTTTCTGGATGCTTTTAGAACACATTCTCTACTCTTCATCAAAACTTATTGCTCTAGTTAACAGGGCCGGAGATATCAGATTAGAATAGCCTTTCGTGTCACTGAGTCATGCTCTTCGTTCCGTTTACCAAGTAAGGTGAACTCGTAATAGCATTCAAGAATATCAATCGGTGACCATATCATAAATTGAACTAACTTGACACTGGTTATAAAATTTTAAAATGCGGATTTAAATTTGTAGTAGACGATGACACTGTTATCCAGAATGAATATCAAGACCTCACAACTAAACCATACCAATTAACCGAGTTCAGAATCATTCAAATTTGCTTAAGCTAACATTCACCATAATTGTTTACTTTTGGTAAGCGTCCATACAGTGATTTGATGAAATCAACTTCCAGCATCACAATATAATTACACAATGTAAAGATCATAATTTCAAACTGTACATTATTCAGTTCCATATTGATCATCACAATGTGTGTACATAGTAGACAATGTTAGTTGACCAAGATTTTGATTTCTTTTAGGGTTTCACATTGAAAAACAACATTGAACAAATTTATGACGTAGCATAGATTAATGCAATCATTTATTTTCTTTAAACATCAATAACCTTCACATAAATAAATGTATCAAAAATTGAAATATGTAAACAATTTCATAATAATAGTAATAATAATAATAATAATTACTATTCAATTAACTAAGATTATATTAAATTGACACTTTTATTATGGAATTTCTATTAATTAACATTTTATTTCTGCATAACCTTATTATTATTATTAAGTACAATTTTTAAACTAAACTAATAATATAACCACAAGTTATTTGTAATTTTAATGACAAATAATTGTTTGTTTGTTTGCTTCTGTATTGACAACTACATAATCAATGTCTTTCTATTGTATTCTCTATTTTTTTTTTTTACTTATTCCAAATCATATAACCAAATTACAATCAGATTATATGCTAAATGAATATCTCAGTCATCTAATTTTTTTTTATTCTTCTCCTATAGAGATAGATATATTATGATATTTAGAAAAAAAAAATAAAAACCTTTTATTTACACAAAATCAAGGAGATTAATAATTTGAATGAGATGGAAAAAAATGTCATAAAAAATTTTTTAGACGTTGTGTTGTTTTTTTGTTTTTGTTTATTAATCTTCATCGAAATAGAAAAAAAAACGTTTTGATCATATTGTGCAAAGTATGTGGACCATTTTTAAACTAAAAGTCAATGAAAGGAATTTATGAATTGGATTAGTTTACATCAGTATGTTATAATTGTTTTTCATCCTTTAACATCTACACTGAAGAAAGCGTATTCTATCGGATAATTATGCTTACCAAAATAATTATATAATAAAATGATTTTTTTATTTATATAAATGAATTTATAATTTTAGTAGAGATAGTTTATATATTTAATCAACAAAACATAAATCAAAGTATCATTTACAAATAATTAAACGGAATTCAAAAGTGGATTATCACTGGTGTACAACTATTTAGTACTAATGTTGACGCTCAATCGAATATTTTAATAAAGATTGAAATAAATGGGAAAAAAAACATTCCCAAAATTCAACAATTAATGTGTTATGAGTGGTTCATTCACATCACCGTTAACACTATCCTGATCTTAACACAATAAAACTTAGATTCATAGTTTACATACAACGCAAAACATAAGATTCAACATGTTTATGAAAAAAACGCTAAAATTTATTTCATCAAATGATAGATTGGTTTTTTCAAGTTGTCATGAAAAAAAAAATCAGTTGGGAAAATTTTTATTAGATCAGTATACACATTGAGTTTAATGAACAAGGCATATTAGTGTAGAGAAATATGTCTACACAGTATAAATCTCCATTAAATAGATAATTTATATATTCGTTTAAACTGTTTAATTTCGTTCACAAATATCATTAGATAAACCTTGTCATATGAAGTTGATTATACGGTAGATTACATATTATTATAGTACCTACAAACCATATGGTCATTCAAAAATATGCTTTATAATGCAGTTCATATTATCTTGAATTTTCGGTAACATGTTTGGTGTAATTGTTAAATTAGCAAAACTGCTGTTGTTGTTGTTATCTCAATTTATTACGCGACATAAGTGGAATTAGTTTCAGGTTGTGAACAGTAATCTGTAATCTTAAATTCACTAGCCTAGTATTAAACTAATTTGTTACTACTTGGACGAATATCAGATGACCGAAATTGTAACCGAATCCATGCTAAGCAATAGCGTTATTGGTGAAGACACTAATATCGTGATCAAATATTGCGCGACTTCATTGTGTTTTACAAAATATTGAAAAAAGTATAAATATTCAAATAAAATAACTGTACAGTTATTTAAAATCCAAACTATACACACAATTTAAGAGTGTGCTAATTCTTTACAATTTGTCATGGATATCAATCGACATAAATATAAATGCATACTTATAAACGAACTTGAGAGTGTACACTCCTGTGTTAATGACTTTGGCAAGTGCATATAAATATAGTCCAGATTTACAATCATTTTTATCAATGAACATAATCATTACTGACAACTTGTAAATTACTTACATATTGGAGTACTTTCAATAAATAATCCTTCTGATTGTTGTAATCCTCTCCTTTCTACTGCTCTTGCATAAAATTGGTTTTCTAGTCTATGAACTGGATAAATGACATCTGTAGTACTAACTGGAATAGTCATAGTAGGTAATGGAAAAGGCAAAGATGAAGCATCTGTTGTACTGCTGCCAGTATCGGTAGTAGCAGTGATAGTAGTAGTTGTTGTTGTCGGCGTTGCAATAATAGTAGTGGTAGTAGTAGTAGTAGTAGTACTATAAGGTAAACAATGTTCATCTTCAAAAGACCAGTAAGATTTATTTGAATCACCCATGTTATACAATTGAGTGTATTTTTCACCAATTTCTACTGCGTAAATTTTATTACAAAAATAAAAATATTAATATTCATTTAAACGTGGATAAATAAACTATCCAATCAAATAGTACGTTCATTATTAATTACACAATTCTGCAATAACTATAGGAAAATTAACTCATTAAATTCAACCTTGACATTAACCAATGAAATAATTATGCGTAGGATGACTAGTTTACTGAAATACACTAATTTTTTTCTTGTCTATTAATGTTCTTATCTTTACGTTCATGTCTCGTTTTAGGCAATGATAATAAATGAGAATAAACTAACTGCATGGCCACCCACGCTTTTATTAACTGTTGATGAGTAAAAAAAAATGTTTTGTCTAATAAATTTTATTTTGAATAATCTTTACAAACAAACCACAATACAATTGTAATCAGCTCAGGTGATTTTCGTATATACAAATTGGCACACACAAAGCTAATATTCCTTGTGGATTGTGAGTTCTATGCACATGATACACTATTCTAATTAATAGATTTATTAAAAAAAATATATTGGTTTCATAAAACTACTTATCCCTTTTTGTACAAAATAACTAATATGTACAAATAAACACAAATGATGGAATGTATATTCTTTTTCATTTCAGTTTAGAAATAAATATCAAACTATACATGTAAGAAGTTGTTTAACTGTTTCACAGGTTGTTTATTAATTATATTAAGACATTATTTATCAATGATAAATATTGTTGTGCATCTATCTATCTATCTATCTATTATTATTATTATTTGGTTAGTTAACTGATTAAAAAAAACGGAAACATCAATCGATCAAATCAATTTTCATTTTTCATTGTCGAATGTTTTTACGTAATATTTTATACAATGTACTTCTCTCTATCTAATTATGTATAGGTGGGATTAAACTTGTTGCGTGATAATATCTACTACTAATTAATGTTAACTGATTTAAATTCAGTTTGATTAATCATTAATTTATTACGTTTTAGTGAACAAGCGATATTTATGAGAAATTTAAATAATCTATCACTTACAATTTCACTTGACTCTAAATAGTCAGATTCTCTACTTTGATCCAATGATAATTATTAAAAGCTGTAAGTGAAATACAAGGTCTTGAACAGTCAAAGATAGTAAATTCACAAATCTAGTTCTTGTAACTGGTCTAGCTATTTATTTTCACATTTCATATTGACCTTGAATAAAGTGATATCTCTTTTTTTGGTCAGTAGTGAAAGACATTAATATCCAACCATTCTAACTCTGATTGAGTTTAAAAAAGTGAAACAAATAAAAACAATCGATAAATGAAAAACAGTCTTATGACTTTTAGAATATTATTCACTGATTTAATAAATTTGATGAAATTTGTGATCATTGTGTTCATTGAATTTCTAGACGAAAATCAATTTATCACATGTAATTTGGGAAGACTGAAGTACAGTGTAATAAAATGCTTAAGTATACATAAGTAGATTACTTTCTTACAAAAGGATTAAATGTTCATATTACTAGAAAGTTGTGAACATTGAAGCTTAGATTTCACATCCCTTACACCATCTGTGAAAATATGCGGTTGCTTATGTCCATTATTTTCACTAGTCAACTGATAATGTGACATTATATTTTCGAGTATTGTCTATTTCTAAAAGTTACCAATTCACTTGTAAGTAACTTAAATAGTTAGAAACTCATATTTTTAGTATTTTTAGTATTTCTGAAAAATCGGATTTGTTTCAAAACTATTCATATTATCGAATTTTTTCAGAAAAATTCAAATCACATAATAATGTTTGACTTAATATTCACTGAATATGTTATAATCCATCACGCTCGCTACTGTCCCATTTTTTAGAAGAGATGACAATATTTGAATTTCAAATGAAAATGAATTTAAACTGATCTAAGCAACAGAAGAGTCGAAAAATTGAAGGGACATATACATGAAAGGTGAGAATGTACATTTGAATTTATCGTTTGAATGATCTCTTATCATTGGCTTATATTAAATAATAAAAACAACAACGAAACAAAATGTAATACCATTCTAGAATTTAACTTTTTAACTAAAAGAACTCATCGACATCAAAATACACAGTTAATATTGTTAGATCATAAGTTTATTGAAATCCAATGAGTTTATCATTCAAAAAAAATTTGAAAATTTTATTGTAGAGATTTTTAAATTTATTTTTGGATAGTGAGTGATATAACTTCATTTCACTACTTTCATATTAATGGCAGACTGTAAGTTGTGTTTTCATGCTTTCAACACTATGACAAAAATAAATTACATTTCCCTAGCCAATCATTATCATATTATTACAAAGTCTTATTAAAACATTTTTTGACTCAAAAGAAAGAATATCTTCTCTAACCAACTAATGCATATTCAGAGTTTTAAAAATTCTTAATTCAAGAAAGCTTATTTGTAGGAGTATCAGATATTTCGACTGGCCATTGCGTTTATATTGTTGATAAATAATGCTTTCCTTGGAAATGTAAACACTTTATGTCTAGTATGATGAGTTTCAAACTGATATCTGATGTTTATAATTACGAAGTCAAGTTCATTAGGTTATTCAGTGGTGACCTTCTTTTTGGAAGTGTAGTATGTAGGTATAATTACTTGGTACTTTTTCTGAGTTTCCCGTATATGCCATGCATATATTAAATGATGTATGAAAAAAATAAAACTATTGTTCGCATTTACTCATATGAACTGGATTACTACTAAAAACTCAAAGAGTAGTGATAAACAAGATATGTTTTTACTTTGAAATTTTTCAAGAGTGCTCGACCACGACTCATGATAAGTTTGTCAAGCTGAAATACAAACAACGTAATTTTTGATGCATTTCCCTAACCACAGTACCTAGAGGTGCTATCCTTGACTATATGTGTAGCATTGTATGCTTAAACTATCTTTTAATCAATATAAGTCTTTTATGTGTAACATCTGAGGAAAATATACTATTATTGCTTTATTTCCCTTATATATAAACAGTTAGCTCATACTATGCCACTTATTAAACTTAATCAGTTGAGGTGGTTGGGACATGTGTTACGTTTGAAAAATCACTGACTGCCTCGTCGAGTTATGTTTTGCGATGTAGGAATAGATTGGACGAAAGCTAGGGGTGGCCAGACCAAAAAGTGGCACAAACCCATCAAGTCATTGACACATGGATTAAGCCATGTTTGTAGATGTTGACTACTTGGTTGGGGCCAGCGAGATCATAGTAATCAGTGGTTAGAGACCTTGAATCACATGGCTCAAAATCGTTTGCAATGGCGCAGGTGTATTCATTCTATGCGTTCTCTCAAATCTTAACCTAATGAATTCCTCATCACCTTTCCCTTTTTCTTATAAGTTTATTTCACTAGATTCTACTTCTTGAATAATATCGCCGAACCCTAATCTATTCGAGTACTGCTTATACTTCTACTGCCTCTTCTACTTTGGGATTTGAAGTGACAACTGTATCTCTGTGCTAATGTAGTATGACAACTGGAACTGATGTACGTACGTACAAAGTTCGATATTGTTGCTGACTCACTGATGTCACTTACTAACTTTTGAAGTTTAGGAGTTATGAATGTTTTACATGGGCATCGATTCTTTTAAAAACATAATGACACTAAAGATACAGTCTAAATGCTGCGAATAAAGTAACTTACTTTCACAGTGTTAATGCGTTCGTTATTATCTGATATTATTATTATTGCTTCATATATTGAGAGTTCTACACTATCAATACACTTTTATCATCAATTAAGGAAATCGGCCTAGTATTTCTGGTCGGTCTCAGTTAAAATTAAATCTCTGAAAGATATTTTCAAACATGTCAGACATTATCTGAAAAAATGAAGAGACCAGCCAAGTAATAGTTTAAATACAATTATTAATTACACCTGAAACAATGATTACCAGATTTTTTATCACAGATATTGAAATAAATCGATACAAGGCATCCATAAAATGACAGTAAGAGCTATTAAATTCATTAGATTCACGAACAACTCAAGTCCACATAAAAAGAGTCAAGAATATGGATTTTCTTTTTAATAGAAAAACTTAACATTTATTGATTAAATAGTTTGTTTTTCTCAACTGTAACCACTAATATTCCCTACTGATCATTTTCCATCACTAATGCATATTTAATAAATCGTAGACTAATCAAAAATTACAAAATTTCAAATAGAATTTGTGGATACAGTACATGAATTACATAGTGTTAACTTCTTCAAGCTACGTATTATGCCGATATGCATTCACTATCTCATTGACCTCTGTTCTAAGTAGGCTTCTGATCATGTGATTAGTTAGTTCTGTCAATCTCAGCTGGTGCGTCGAATTTGTTTATATTATGTGTTGATCGTAGATTGATGAGGATGTAAGGCTTATAAAAATTCCTATATAATCGACGGTTAATAACTTTTATATTTTTGCTGTCACATTTATGTACAAAGTAGTCTGGGTAATATTTTACGGTATTCAACTGTTAATCAAAGTATAGGAATGTGATGTCAATAGTACAATTTGCAATAATGGATACCAGTTGTGAATTGGATTCTAAATTTAGCAATCAACATATACGTACCACATGATACACTAGAATTGTATTCACACAAGTAAAATCACAAATATGTGCAGGTAAGCAATCCAGTCACTTGTACACAAAATATATATGTATAAATAAAAGTTCAGTATTAGTCATGTTAACAATTAGAAGAGTAAAATATCGATTCTGTGTAACTAATGCTTCCACAGTGAGTATTGCTCGGTATTTTAATTTGTGAAGGATATATATTAGCGGCTTATGAGTATAGACTATCCTCCATTGTAGATCCTAAATTTTTAAAAATTCTGGTATATTACGTGTTAAAATTTCATGAACATGATTCTGATAAAACGTTTATTTGTTTATTTTTCACATTTTCTACATCCGAAAATATATTCTATCATTGCAACTTCATT